CCTTGCCCCATTCACTAATGGTTTTTCAGACGAACACTTCGTTACTCGTTGTTGGCTAACTGGCACCGGAAAACGATGGGTCACATTGTACTATTTGGGGAACAAATGCTACGAATATCGGAGCACTCCCTAGCTTGACTCATAATCAACGACGCCGACATGTTCATTGGTTGGGACTAAATTATCGAAGACAGGCTAGCCTGGTAGGTCTAACTTTACTCCCGCAGTTTGACTTTTTTCCTTCTGGCATAAATTCGTTCAGCTATAGCATCCTTTCGGTGCCTAGCTGCCATGCCACCCGAGGGAAGTACGAGGGCTGGGTTACTACCGGGTTGCCCAAGCCTAGACAGGATAAATCGAGAGCCAGAGGTCGGGTTCGAACCACGGAACTTCCAGTCAGTAAATCCGGGCTCCAACAACTGAACCATCTCACAAACGCGCGGAAGATAGAACTAAGGGGTACAAACCGAAAAAACAATTCATTCATTCCCTGCACATTTATATCCCTGGCTCGAGAAAAGTTGTCACATGACCGTCCCTAGGAAGGAAAACTACCGTTTAAGAAGTTGCGACACCTTTAAACGGGGAATCTTTGCCACTTTATGTGATATTTTCGTACTTGTTCTGAAAGGGGTTGCGGTGAGTGTCCCGAAATTACTGGGTGTAATTAAGCTACTCAGTTTAGTTCTCGGTTAGCGTTCTTATTAAAAGAGCCATCAAGGGTGAACAAATTATATCAACGCCAAACATCTGGTCAAAGACATGTACAACACGTGGACAAAATTCTGGAAATTCCGACGGATGTGGCTTTGGCAACCTGCATTTGGCGGATACTGAATCATGATCGACTATTGGAGCACAAATTTCGGCCAATCAGAGCTCGACTTAATGCTGGACCGGCAAGCGGTCCGATCGTCTGGCCAATCGCGTGCGGGATTGGCTTCTTGGCCGTAGCAGCGCCTAACTGTGAGTGGTAAGGCGGTCACGGTGCATGATTCGTATTTTTTAGAGTGGGCCATGTACGTTGGCATATCAAATCGGGTTCTCTATCCAAGGAAACCGTAACTTCGTTGTTGATCTGTTCGCCGAGCTTGGCTACGTCTCATTAGCAATCGAAGAGACATTGTCAGTGCCAAGTCGGGTGATTGAGGACCGATCTGCCTGTTGGTTACGGATTCCACGTACTGAACAATATGTCTTCCGTGGGCCGCTTAAAATATGCATATGGCTTGGCAAAAGGGACTGTCCACTGGTACGTGACCAAACCGAAGCAACCTATGAAGCGTGGAACGTCACGGCGCTTTGCTGAACACATTTGTCACCCTTATACAAGTTGATCACAGGAAGAAGCCGTAAGTAGGGTAAAACAAAACAAAGCCAAAAACGTTACCTGCGAAGTGCAAAGAGTAAGTGATTGCAATATGCACAAACTGCGATAGCATTGAAGTTAGAGATGAGCCGTACTGCAAAGTGTTTGCGCCATCCAAATGCCTCTGCAGTCACAAGGAACTTCTTCAATGGTAGGCCACTCCTACTTCCTGAAGAGAGGTTGTTCCGTCACTGTCAATGCAAGCAGTGATACCAATACATCGGCACTCAAGTGCCATACAGACATGTGGAATTAAAGACTCAGCAAAGAGTGAAAAAAGAGATGGGCAAAGTCCTACGCCCGTGGGGAAAACGACCAAGTGCCTACGCATTTAGAGGACATTAAGATGAAGAAATTTGCACAGTAGAGGCTACCAACACACCGTTCATTGCGAAACCTACGTGACATAAGCCCAAAGGGGGGGCACAGTGACGAGTACACTTCAGTTGGACAATCTGACTACGAGACAATAGGTATGCGCGCCATTGAGATCGATTGCGTGCTGTGTTCAGCAGGGTATCCAGCCCCGTTCAAACAGGAAGACCAGAGCCCCCCGCAAGTTTTTCGTCAACAACAGCTTGAAACAAAAAACGCCTTGGGTGGATCATGGGTGGTAATGCGTGGTACACGTCCCAACCGCCTCAACTTGATACGTTTAATCTGTTGCGCAACAATTCTTACCCCTTAACAAGAACAAAGTCACGCATCGATTCCTTCATTAGTGGCTGCAGTCAGCTAACTGCTCCTACGCTATAGAGAAACAGGTGGCCTTCGCTGGCGAACGCTGCTCACGTCTTGACGATTCTCCTATCGATTTTATCTGTTATAGTACACCCACGGCTCAGGAAACTGCCAAGCTAAGTAAGTCGACCAACAAATCCAAGTTCCCCCATTCTGGATTTTCAGAGGTACGAAAGAATGGCAAATCCTGGGCACATTTTACTGCAAAGGCGATCCCGTGGGAAGGAACAGCAATACCACTTCCCTAACCTTTGAAAAGGGCCTTTAAAAGATCATTAAGGTCTTTGAAGGATCATTGGGAGATATCTCTGCCGTAAACCCTGAACCAACATTTCAAGGCCGTCCATCCTAAAGGTAACGTAAATCTATATCATTTAAGTGTACACGATCACCGGTGTGCATCGCAAAGAACTCCAAGAGATACGAAAGCGAGACTCTACAGCCCCCAAATTAAAACTACGTGGCAACGAGTACCTAAACATACTTGGACACGATATAGCACAATTAAAATAAATCGTTCAGCTGTAGCATCCCTTCGGTGGCTAACTGCCATGCCACCCGAAGGAAGCATGAGGGCTGAAATACTGCCAGTTTGCCCAAGCCTAGGCCGAGGAAGTCGAGAGGAAGAAGTTGGGTTCGAACCACGGACCTTCCGGGCAGTAAATTCGCGCTCCAACCACTTGGGCCATCTCGCACACCGCATCACGTGATCACGTGTCGACTGGCTCCTCCGGCCGGTTTAATTCGTCCTATGAAAATTGGTCTTACATCTGAGCTGCTCATTGTTTATTAGTGGTGTGAAGAGATTCGGAATTCGCGGCAAACACTCCGTCGTGTGGGTGAAGCCAATCTATTCTGAAAATCTGCGAAGCACTGTTTCATCCTTAATAGGAATTATCAGCCGTGCGCTTATTGCGAATCTATATCGTTTTTTTCACTTTCTCGGCCATGGGCTACACATGATACACGTCTAACGTTATGCGATGTGAGCGGGATTTCTCCTTTTTCCGCCAACTGGCTTGAGATGGGCAGCACCTTTGAGCATACACAACGGGAACCGGACAGCGGTTGAAAAAGCAACCAAGGGGAGAAACAAAGGCAAAAAGAAACCAGCCCCCATCCACGTGATGTGCAAAATCGAAGACAACTTACTCGTACATCAGAGGATGGACGGGGAAAAAGTCACAGTCGGCAAGGTTGAACCGCTCCGTCTTGCGCTTCTCACCGCCCCAAAGAGTCAAGATCCCCTGTCTGCGATCAAGTTGCGCGTAATAGGGCTTCCATTTCTTTCGCTGGGTTGTCACTACAACGACAGGGGAAATAAAGAGGCCGAAGTAACCGAGGCAAAAAAAGTATGCGGTCTAGGGATCGCCCCTCCGATACACACACACACACACACACAAAATAAAAGTCCCAGAACTTGGTCTGAGGTTGCATGGTTGCCTAGAAACGTGGTCTTGTGTGTTTCTGAGACTAACCGAGGAGAAAACTCACTTCCCTACACGTCAGAGAAACAATGGAAAAAGTTGAAACGGTTGGGCGCCAAGTTATTCACAGTCGAGAGCACGTTCACTGCCCACAAAAACGACAGACTTGTCACACTGAACAAAGAAATGACAACCGTGAAAAATGGCACAACCTCGTTTGAGGACAGAAAGTGAGAAAACAGCTAACACGTGTGTTGAACGGAGACAGTCGCACGACAAAAAGATGCCACAACCACCCAGGGTCCGTATACAAAAAATATACCAAGTAAAGTATGAAAAAGGGCAGTAATCCACCTCCCCACACACAAAAAAAAGAGAATAGCGCGAGGAACATGAGCATTCGACCAATCACTGAAGGATGGCCTTTCTTCGGAGTGATCGTTAGTACTGTTGCACTTATTGCTCTTCGGGGCAATGAATTTTCTTTGCGGGATTCAAAAGAAGGCCTTAAAAGATTGCTCTTAGTTGCGGATAGCAATAGGGATGATTCCTGTACGGGCCTCAGTCGCAGTCCGACACGACTGCGATGAGGGCATCGTACACCAATACGTACTGCTGAGAAGTCTTTTGGCCACTTCTTAAATTCCTTTTCAGGGTAAGCGTCCGCGACAGCATTGCAAAGAGTGGCCACTCTGAAAAACAGCACAGCTTGAACGGCTCATGCCCATAACCCCTGGTGACCTCTACCTGAGAACTGTTGGCTCCTCATCTCTAATCTCGTTAAGGAATCTGGCACCAATGCATGCCGTTCCTATGGTGACGCCGGGGACTCAGGCTGAATAGATTTAGATGCCACAAACGACCTTCATATAAAGATCAGCGCAGCCCACGCAGCAACTGTCTACCTATCGTCTGGATTTTAACCGACAGTTTTCCTTCCCCATAAATGGACCAGCTGTCATTTCACCCGGAAGAAACACGAGGGCCGAGATACTGCCAGGTTGCCCAAGCCCAGATATGAGCAGGGGTCGGGTTCGAACCACAGACCTTCAGGTCATGTCTTAACCACTGAGTCACCACGAGCCCATTTCTCCCCCACAGGCTGCGGAAAATAAGCAAGTGGTCCATAGACCAGGAGAGAGCAAAGAACAGCAATCGGAAAACTTCTGCGATCTCACACACGAATGGCATGTGGAGAGGTTAAAGCGTTCTTTTTGAGTGGTGCGAACACCCGCTTTATATCGATAGTCAACTTCCTGTATGAAACACGCCCGTGTTTCAGTTAGGATAGGCCGCACAAAGCGAAGAGCCCGGAGAGTAATACCTTTGTAAATCGATTGGCGACAATTATTGAGATCATCAATTTGACGAGTCTAGAACTGCTTGGAACTCTTTTACTGTGGCGCCAGACGCTCTCGCCACACATACCTGCATGGGATTCACACTCAGTACACAGTGTGTAGCAACGGTATTTTCCTCAACTTAGTTCTCGGTCTGAGCTTCCCAAGCTAGCGTTCACGTCAAAACAACTACCAAAGGTGCACAAGATCTATTGACGCCTAAAACGAAGTCAGGAACAGTTGTACAGCGCTTCGTATATATAGCGTAGGCGGTTATAACTTTCTGGAATTTCTGACGCGTTCTCGATGCGTCAGTGGCAACCGGCATTTGGCCATGATTGGCTGTTGGACCAAGATTCTCGACCAACCAGATCTCGTCATGATGCCGAACCGGCAAGTGTCCCGAATTCTCGTGCGGGCTAGGCTTATCGGCCGTAGCAGCGCCTGAAGGCGTGCGGTATAGCGGGATCCGTGTGGAATCCTGCCTAACACAGTGGAACACCATTCAAACCACTCGGGAAGGCGAGCGGCCGTGGTAAGATGCCAATGACGCCTACACGACAATTTACGCGAAACGGAGGTCACGAATCGAACCTACGATACAACCTCGACGTCCGCAGGTGTTGGGTCTGGTCAATAAATGCCCACAAGGAAACTCATCAGAACTCGGAAGAGCTCAGTGGTTAGAACGCGAATTGACTGACCGGAAAGTTCGTGGTTCGAACCCAACCTCAGCACCTCGACTGCCCCTTTCTAGGCTCGGGAAACCTGGCAGTATCCCAGCCCTTTATTTCCTTTTTTGTTGCACGCTAGCTAAGCATCGAACGAGCGCTACAGCTGAGCGATTTTTTTTTGCATTTTAGAACGATGAGCGGCGTTCTCAAGAGAGAGGGACGCGATTGAGCTTGTACTGTATCGAAGACGTTGCTTGTGGCATGAGTGAACTCGGACCATTCGTGTCAGTGGCTGATAGAGTGCCATAAAAAAAAGCTGAGTATAAGTGGAGTATGATACCCAGGACATCCACTGAGTTGACGAGGAGAATTTGGCGGGCAGTGTATCGTCCATTGTTCCGAAATTTTTCTAAATTCCCCACGTTTCTTTTGTCCCTATTTGTGACGCCCGTCCCACCTTCATGTTTCGTGGGTGCACATGAATTGGCGTTTGTTTGTTCCAGCTATCGTCTTGATGTCATCCAGTCGTTTGGTGGCTGTCTCAAGTGTCAGTCTGTTTTGTTGGTTTGGTTTGTAACTTTATACTCCAAGCAGACCATTTATTGTGGACGAGGTTTGCATATTCTGTGAATTTATGTTTTATATCAATAGTGCCGTAGCTGGGACTTTGTTTCGCCTTCCTCGACGTCCTGGTATGGCGCGTCACTTGAAGATACGGTCTGGTTAAAACTCTAGGAATTCGCGGTGAAGGGGGATAGTCAATACAATTGGGAATGCGGGAAAACGGATTGCGCCAAGCGAAAAAAGAAAGACAAAAAGTTATATAGACTAAAACCAGACGGGCTTCCAGATGATACTCACTCATTGACATTTCTCCGTGGATTTCGAGCACAGCAAGCTGCGCCGGTTGACGAGTGTAACGCAACGCCATGTAAATCGCTGACGACGGAGGATTCATTTGTGGCTTTTAGAAAGAAAAAGAAACGAACAATTGCAGCTGCTTGCAAAAACCATTATCATCACAAACAGCTGGTCAATAACTGATAGATACTCACCTTCTGTTCCCTGTGAACGGGTTTGAAAACGTGCGGGGCAGTACCGTCACCGGCCAAATGTTTGCCCACCTCACCATCCGCTTCACAAGACCTTGTTGCAATGTCAGGCGTGTCCCCGTTAGTGTGAGCTGTGACCGATGAGACATCCGGATGCCACGGACCTGGATGGGCCTCAATTGCGGCGACTACCGCTTCAACACTGGGGAAGGTGAAACCATTATAGACTACCACGGTGGTGGCACGGTAGCGTGGAAGAGCCATTAGATCTCCAGCTGCGATAGGTTCACGATATAAGTCGTTAGCGGTAGGCACATCTGGAGCGTTGGCAACAGGTACGTTGACAGGATCAGACGTGTCTCGTCCCGTGGCAGCCACTATCCCATCAGATCGGCGCCGAGGAACCTCTAGGGCTACATCGTCCATTTGAATGGCGGTATGCGTTTCACCATCAGGTGTGTACACGGACCGACCGGCAGGTTCGCTACTGCGTCGGTGCACCCCGTCGCCCGCCGAATCAGGACGCTGGCCGTTGGGTTGTAAGTGGTGCGGTGTGCACTCCTCGGATTGAACGACCAGCTCAAGACGATATTTGCGTACCCGAGCTCCATCGTAAAGAAGCAGAGTGTATAGTCCAACGCGAGATGCACAGGGGCGTAGTAAGTAGCTATAGGCGCCAGCTGAGAAGAGGAACAGGTCAAAAGAAACGAGGTATCACATCGAAGTATGTAACGGACACAGATAGAAATGCAGCGGCGTCTAGACACCCGCCCGATCAACCATTGAAATTCGTGCAATGCATGCCCAAGTCATTTGTGGTTTCTTGTTCGACGTGTGTTACTAATAAACACCCAGAGTTGGATCTAGATAAAACGGTTATACTAACTGTACAAAACCTCTAAAGGGATGCTGGCATGATGCGTGAATCAGGTGACCACACTTACCTTTCTTCAACAAATCCTTCAGTTGGGCAGAAGTAGTATCCGGGTGGAAGAATTCCAAACGTTCGATCAGCTCTGGGTATTCTTTCTGGAAAGGATTAGTGAAGGCTGATGAGGACTAGTCACAGCGACGTCAATAGCCGAAATTCTAAGCGGAACTAGGCTAGAGATTTGAGCATTCAGATATCAGTCTCAGTCTGCGAGCCACACAATTTCGTCGTACATCAAGAGCTTTTCACAAGAAAGCATGATACCGATGGAAAAGCAAAACAGTGGCAAGTGTAGAGCCGAAAAGATTGTGATACTGCGATTGGCTGTCGCATCAACGTCTTAAAAAGCCTTGGCTTGATTGTGTCACCCACCACGGTGCTACAACACAGGGGTTATAGTTCAACAAAGAACACAGCAGGAAAAGGGGACAAAGCTAAAACTTTGGTGACAAATCACATAATTTTCTGGTAGGTGAGGTCGGTATTCATGAGTGGTCGCGAAGCACCGAAGTAGAACGGCTTACGATTGGTCGAGAATCTGACTAGTTACAGTGGGCCGTCGTGTTGTCCGCAATTGGTCCGTCATGCGGTCGTCCAATCTATACGACGCCCGGATGAGCGCAGTTCCGGACACTTGATAAGTAACACTATGTAGTGTACCAGTGTAATGGTAACACTACTGATGGGGGAGGCATGCGAGTAGTATGTTTTCTCGTAAATCCGCTTCGCGTCTCTCTGTTGCGGAATTTGTGGAGTCGCTTTGTAGCATTTGCTTAGATTTGAGCAACAGTCAATGAATATCTAGTAAAGTTCAGAAAGACGCGTTCAAGGAGAATATGGATATTCAGTTTTTGTAAACAAGATGCATATGAGGACTTTGCTTCCCTGCCCAATAGTCTGTAACTGATCAGTTGGCATTTTCTAATAAATAACTTTGCAGCGAAGGTCTTCCTCCTTTCACCAGTACTAACAGCTTGAAGAGCTTCCACAATCAGATGGAGATCTCTAGCACTCAACAGTGGTGTATTTCGGGTGCTGGTTGGCAGGAGGGATGAGAAAGGCCCAAACGGGGTCAACAGGGATATCAGGGTTAAAATCAAACCAGAACGCCTCCTGTAGCTATCCATGAGGAGGACGGAATCACTGAAGCAGTAACACCTTATTCTGGCTCGTCGACACTCTCAGCAACCAGGGCGCACCTTCTCCAGGACTGCTGCCAGCTGGTCTAATCGACGTGGTATATGGCTTGTTCCAGTGGCCCGCCTATGGAGAGTGGTAACGTCAAAGAATCGCAACAGATTGCCTTTCTTAAACATTGAGGAGGCTGCTGATTCGACAACGGCATCTACTGTCTCGTTAACCATGAGCGCAAGTTCGAGACGATGAGGAGCTTCTAGCAGAATTTTGTAATCCAGAAAGATAAGTTTACTGAGTCATCCTGACCCTTCGATTACTTTTGTCTCTGTCTGGGCACTCAAGTCCTGCCCTGGTCAGCAGGCTCTCCCAAAAGGTTGCATATGGACTACGTTAGGATGAGAAATCTTACGACTGCACCGATGCTTACGAAATGGAAGTTGGAAGAAATCACCCAATCGATAGTCCAGACAAATCTTCACGTGTTGTGTCGGAGGGCGAGATGGTGGTTGGAGCGCGGATTTACTGACCGGAAGGTCCGTGGTTCGAATCCCACCTCTGCCTCTCGATTCTCCTGTCTAGGCTTAGGCAAACTGGCAGTATCCCAGCCCTCGTACTTCCTTCGGGTGACATGGCAGCTAGGCACTGAAAGGGCGTGGCAGCTGAACGATTTTTTTTGTTAAACTGAGTGGACAAACATCTTCCAGACGGTGTATTGGGAACGGGTCACACAATGACTCGCTAGAGTTTTAGAAACAGTTTCCGCACTACCCTTGTAGGTCAAGAACAAGAGTAAACACCGTGCGACTAGAGAAATGTGTACGATGAGGCTACAGATGTAAGACGAGTAAGCTAGACAAAATGTGGAAGGACGATATCGTACACATATAAATTTAGAATCAGACATAAACTGCAGCAAGGTCATCACCCGCCGTAAGATATCCTGCTTCTCCGGTTGGATTCTATAACTCCCCATGAAGATGACTGAACCCCTCTTACTAGCAGTCAATAGTACTTTCATTTCGATAAACCTCTAGTCTGTGGTTACCGTTGGAATGCCATATAGACCGAACGACAGATTTTGAAAGCAGGCAGAAAAAGAGACAGATGAATCGGGCAGGCAAACACAATGAGTTGAATGCAGTTTGGCTAAGCTGTGGCAAGCATAAACAACACCAGAGCAATACTGGACGATTTCACCCACCTCAACGCAGCATTTTGGCAAGTAACCGGAATGTCGTGTTTTCAATGAGGTAGCGAACACCCAGTCGGTATTCGGATCCTCGGAGACAAGGAGGAAACGATCTCCAACAGAACAGCTGTAACGAAAAGACACGTATGTGGCAGGGACTCGTATAGTTCGATTGGTATGGTTCTGAACGTGCACACGAATAAAGGAAAATGCCGTTCAAACACAACTACGGACAGATGGGGCCAACTAAGGTTAACTGGCAAGCCCTAGGTTTGTTTATTTCTTCCTTCTAGTTTCATGCTGTACAACGCGATTCCCCATTTTCGTTACTTTGGTTTTGCGCCTATACCACATTTACTGACCGGAAGGTCCGTGGTTCGAACCCGACCTCTGCCTCTCGACTTCCCCTGTCTAGGCTTGGGCAACCTGGCAGTATCCCAGCTCTCGTGCTTCCTTCGGGTAGCATGGCAGCTAGGCACCGAAAGGGTGCTACAGCTGAAAGATTTTTTTCATCGGACGTGTTGTTTAAGTTCACACCTGATTTCGCTATCTTGTAAACACGTGGCCTTAAATCGGTGTGAACTTTGGGATCCGTTAGGAGTTAGCAGTTTCTAAACCGGTCTATAGAAGCCGGCATAGTTCCACGATTTGAGGTTTGTAAAGTTTCACTATTTTCTTATTGTATTTATAGCATCGCGTTTGTAAATAAACCTCCATTTGAACGATTTGGCTTCTGGGGTTTTGCCGTAACTCAACATGGTCCAACAGATTGCTAGAAACAATCTATAAGGTTGACAGCAGGAGAGTTATCTGGAAAGTTCAACTGCGAAACAGTTTGTTCGGAGGTACCGGTGGGAAAAATGAGGTGGCACGTGATCAGGACTGTTAACAGCTGTTCAGATGTAGCATCCTTTCGGTGCCTAGCTGCCATGCCACCCGAAAAAGGCACGAGGGCTGGGATACTGCCAAGCCTAGACAGAGGAAGTCGAGAGATAGAGGTCGGGTTCGAACCACAGACCTTCCGGTCAGCAAATTCACGCTCTAACCACTTGGTCCATCTCGCCCATTGTTAACACGACATCCTTCGAAATATTTTGTCCTCACCTACACAATACGCCACTACTCACAACAGAGGTCAGCCGACACTGGAGATCAAAAGTTCAAAGAAATTCAGAAACCCGAAGAGTATCAAGAAACCGGTCAGAAAAGGCTCCTTCAAGCAAACAGATCAATCGAAAGAAGGGCGAAAATGAGAAGGAAGAGAAAGATATTTCGGTTCACAACCAAAACAAGCCTTACAGAGATAGCAGTGGGATCGGGAGTGGATGAATGAATTGACCAACCCATCGCTACGCTCCCTAGCAACTCGCTGATGATGCCACCTCGATTGGTGGGTGATGAAACGTTTGCAATCAAACCAGCGGCCAGTTATCCACAACGCTTTCCCAAGTTGTTCGTCTCCTTCAAACCCGTTCTTCCGGGTACGACATAGCATCCGCAGTTGGAGAGGATCTGAATTAAACTTTTTCTTTGCAGAGCGAGGGAGAGAGAGAGATCCTAATCACTGAGGGACCAATCCTAATGGACACACAAATCGCGTCGCCATTGGCTGAAGCAGGTACGACGACAAGAAGATACATGAAATATCGATCGGTAAACAACTACATTCTCTTCGATATAGTAGTAGGGGGTACAACACCGGTGTGGCGAATATCTCTGCCAATGGTCAGAGAACTGGACAGACAGTATTAGTCAAAAATGGTCACAGTAAACTTGAGGGGTGCAGTAAATGATGTTGTATCCCAGTGGCATTGTGTTTCTTTTTTCAGTTCCGGAGGCGAAACGCCCCAACAATAGACGAGTGTACTCCGACTACCCCTACATTAAACACAAAGACTTATTCCATAAAAGTGGTGCTCCAAGGAATCGAATGAAAGAAGAATCGATTTACTCCGAAGAAATCCCCGATTGTGAGGAAACCATGGGTTTTCAGTAGATTACACAAACCGCATTGTTCGCGTCCGTTTTCGCATGCTTCAGTAGACGTTCAGATATCCTCGCTTCTGACTGAATCCGCAGGACTTGGGGTTAGTAAATCTGTATCTTTTCGAAGCTGCCGTTTGTTCTTAACTATAGCACCGATAAAAAACCGACCCTTTTTGATCGGATGATCGAAGCGCGAGGTTGTCTGCAGTTGGAAGCTCCGATGATTGGTTGGACGGCGGTTGCTCAAAATCGTATCACTGCTGGTCGCTAGAGTTCTCAGCTTGTGTTGCGCGTGAACTGGTAATCCCAGAAAGGGCAATTACGGGAATTTGACATTATAGACTAAAAGTGACCTTGACCTGGCAGAGTGGTGTTAGGGAGATTACGAAACATTTGGGTGCTGTCGGCGCTACTCGCCTTCCAAGATAGGGACCGCGTGATTTCCGCTGCGCCTGGTTGGAGACACTGCAAGCTGTGGATGCCAATCGATGTCAGTTTCTATCCAGATTGCCTAAAAGAGTGTCTAGAGATGCCTTCACTTTAGGATGATTGTAGTAAGCTAGCACTAATTCCCTTCTCTGTCCACCTTTATTCTTTCTTTACAATAAGGCTTTCAAATGGTTGTAAGGCAGTTTTTGGACACTGATATCATGCTGTCGATCATGATGATGATGATGATGAATCTATACGAATATTACACAGTCAGTAGAAATATTACCGCGTGATCTCCGCTGCGCCTGGTTGGAGACACTGCAAGCTGTGGATGCCAATTGATGTCAGTTTCTATCCAGATTGCCTGAAAGTGTCTAGAGATGCCTTCACTTTAGGATGATTGTAGTAAGCTAGCACTAATTCCCTTCTCTGTCCACCTTTATTCTTTCTTTACAATAAGGCTTTCAAATGGTTGTAAGGCAGTTTTTGGACACTGATATCATGCTGTCGATCATGATGATGATGATGACCTGCATCGAGAGGTGGTCGCAACACAGAGGTTTTTACCAACGGCTTCACTGGACAGACCTGGAAGAATAATCTTCGTAATCCGCCTCAAGACGACTGAATTTTTACCAACGGCTTCACTGGACAGACCTAGAAGAATCTTCGTGATCCGCCTCAAGACGACTGAGACGTAGTCAATACGAACCAACGGCCGTGTATACCTGGAATGGAATACGACCTGCCGACCAACCTACCTAATCTGAGATATACATGAGAAGCTTCAAATCGGAAACGTTTTCCTCATCATCTTCATCATCAACATCAGCGTTCAACACCGATGCTTCACTGCCGTACAACAACGA